TCAGCAGAAAAATCCACTACAGTACCTCTAATAGCAGTGTGATTTGGAGGTAGATGGTCTCCCTTGGTCCTTAAAGCATTAACATAGAATTCTTGTGTGATATCCTTGGACCCTTTTTCCAGCTAAGGTAGTGAAAATCTCTCATCCTCTTTTTTGAATCAGGTCAAAAAATTCAGGGTGTTCTCCTTCAGCTAGATCAAAATTCCTATCTTGAACTATTTTTCTCCTCAAGATATTGGCCTTAAAATAGTTCTAATGTGCAATGCTCTTGAATCTAGGATCATGATCAGGTATAGTCCTTGAAGAAGGACCAGTTGAGAATCTTCCCCTCTTAGATCTTGGAGTTCCTCTAGGTGTGCTCGCCATGTTTCAGCTGTAATCACAAATTAAGTATAGAAAGAATGAGTTTCAGGATTTGTCAAAATTGCAGCAAATATTTCAGCAAACTAAGCACTATTTCTAACTCAAATTACAGAGAAAAGATTTTCCTAAGACTGTATGCATCACCAACAAATCGTCAATCAAGTACAACTCATTAAATTTCATCAATACAGAGTGCAGAATAGCATTCAGGCTCTACTCAAATTTTAATCAATTATGTGCAGTGTGATAATATGCAGAGTGATACGATCAACATGTGCAAAATCAACATTTATTGATAAAATTGTGAAATTTAGAATCAATCAGTGTAGTGTATTGGATGAAAGATTTCAGAACAATCAGCTCACAGATTTTCAATGATAAAAATCACATTAGTACTTATGAAATTCATTCTAAAAACCCTTTTCTGCACAATTGATTAATAAAAAAATTATTTCAGAATATTTCCAGCAATTTCAAATATTAATTATGCAGAATTTTGCAAGAATTTGCTTCAGAAATCAGGTTTCACAGTTAAATACAAGTACAACAACATGTTCATACAAAAATCCTTCATACAACATTAATCTTCCATTAAAAATTATAATTTGAGCATGGAATTAACCCCATTATCCTTCAATTTCATATTCAAATCAATAATTTCACAGAAATTGCCCCCAATTTTAAATTCTCAAATTTTCCCCAATTCACGCTCTGAAGAACCCTAATCAAAAATTTCAAAATTGGAGACATAATTACCTGGATTTGAAGTGAAAATGATGAAGGAACAAATAATCAACAAAAATTCAGTGAATACTGAGTAGGAAATTCGAATTTTAAGAGCTAGGTTTCTGGGTTAGGGTTTGGATGCTTCTGCGTTATCACTCTGAATGGTTTAAATGGTTACGCAGAGTGAGTAGACACTTTAAATAGGCAGAGTAAACACGCTGGGAATTTTGTAATGAATTAAACGTGAGCATGTTTACTCTAAGCATTCAGAGTGTCTACTTTAAATGGAAGTGTGCAAATCACGTTACCACTTTAAATGATTGAAGTGAATACTTACTACTGACCTATGCGCGTAGCTACTTCAAATGGGTAGAGTAGCTATGCGGAGATGCGCGTAGCTACTTCAAATGGATAGAGTAGCTGTGCAAACATGCGTGTAGTTACTTCAAACGCCTGAAGTAGCTACACATAAGCCACTTTTTCAGCTTTTTCTATATAACCTTGCGCGTGGATGCTCTCAGTAGTTAAAGTAGCTACACAATTTTGCATGTGTCCATTTCAAGTGGGTAGAGTAGCTACGCGCTTGTTTCATTTCAAAATTCAGAATCCATGGGCTTCTGCATAGACACTTTATGCACTTGAAGTATCTACTTGATTGATCAATTTTCAGAATGGACTGCTGCGCTTCAATTCTTCTTCCTCAGAATGTTTACTTACTTAATGAGTATCATTCCAACTACAATTCCACACATTGATCTTAATTGAATTAAAATCTGCAAACACAATTAACAATGTGATTCATTATGAAAATCATATTCCACCATTACATTCAACTAAAAATTTAGAAAATGCAGAATTTTTAAAATTCAAAACTAAAAGTAAAAATTCCTAAACTAGACTCTAACAAAAGTAAAGGGTTAGAAATGTGAGTTGCCTCTCACAAGCGCTATTTTAATGCTACTAGCTTGACACCTCATATTTCTCATTTAAGAGAAATCAACTTAACACAAGATGTTCTTTGTGAATGCCTCTCTATGATAAACCTTCAAGCTTTGGCCATTGACTTTGAATTCTCTCCCTGTTTTCTGATCCTCAATTAAAATTGCTCCAAAGAGAGATACTTCTTTGATTAGAAAAGGTCCAAACCACCTTGATCTTATCTTTCTTGGAAATAATTTCAGTTTTGAATTAAACAATAAAACTTGTTGTCCAGGCCTGAGCTCTCTTTTCAGAATAAATTTATCATGGATCCTCTTGGTTCTTTCTTTGTACAGTTTGACATTTTCATAGGCCTGTTGCCTAAATTCGTCTAGCTCATGTAGTTGTAGGATTCTCTTTTCTCCAACACTAGCTAAGTCAAAATTCAACCATTTAGTGGCCCAATATGCTTTATGTTCCAGCTCCAAAGGTAAATGACATGCCTTTCCAAAGACTAATTGGTAAGGCGACTACCAATTGGAGTCTTAAAGGCAGTTCTATATGCCCACAAAGAGTCATCTAACTTCTTTGACCAATCTTTTCTTGAATTATTCACCACTTTTTCCAGAATTTGTTTAATTTCTCTATTTGACACTTCAACCTGTTCACTTGTTTATGGATGATATGGAGTAACAACCTTGTGTTTTTAACATTATACTTTGCTAAAACTGATTCAAGATGCTTGTTGCAGAAATGAGCACCTCCATCATTTATTAAATATTTGGGCACTCCAAATCTAGCAAAGATATTCCTTTTTATAAAAGAAATTACCACCTTGGCTTCATTTGTCCTTGTTGGAATGGCTTTCACCCACTTAGAAACATAATCAACTGCAACAAGAATATATTCATGAGAGAAAGATATGGGAAAAGGTCCCATGAAATCAATCCCCCATACATCAAATAATTCTACTTCTAAAATATTTGTCAAAGACAGCTCATGTTTCCTAGAGATGTTGCCTGTCCTTTGGCACTTATCACAACTCTCAACATAATTTTTGGCATCTTTAAAGAGTGTAGGGCAGAAAAATCCTGCTTGCAAGACTTTTGTAGCATTTCTTGAACTCCCATGGTGGCCTCCATAATCTAAATTATGACGATGCCATAATATCTCAGCTTGTTCATTTTGTGGGATACATCTTCTAAGTAGACCATCCACCCGAATTTTGAACAGATAAGGATCTTCCCACACATAAAATTTACTGTCATGTAAAAATTTCTTTCTTTGTTGCCACGCAAATTTCTTTGGAATGAGTTGAGTGGCCTTAAAGTTTGCAATATCAGCAAACCAAGGCAGATCTTCCACAACAAGTAGTCTTTCATCTGGAAATTCTTCATTAATGTCCAATGAATTAGAGGTTAAATTGTCCAATGGAAGCCTAGATAGATGATCAGCTACCCCATTCTCCTTTCCCTTTCTATCTCTAATTTCCAATTCAAACTCCTACAGTAGCAAAATCGATCTCCATAATCTTGGCTTAGTATCCTTTTTGGAAAACAAATATTTAAGTGCAGAATGGTCAGTATAGACTATGACTTTGGATCCCATCAAATATGATCTAAATTTATCAAAAGCAAACACAATAGCAAGGAGCTCCTTTTCAGTAGTTGTGTAATTTACTTGTGCAGAATTTAAGACTTTGCTGGAATAGTAAATGACATGCAATTTCCTATCCTTTTTTGTCCTAAAACAGCACCTACTGCACTATCACTTGCATCACACATTAATTCAAAAGGTAAATTCCAATCAGGTTTTGCAAGAATAGGTGCAGAGATAAGTTTTTCTTTCAAAATAGAAAATGCATGCAAACAAGAATCATCAAATACAAAGTCAGCATCTTTAACAGGTAAATCACTAAGAGGTTTTGCAATTTTTGAAAAATCCTTAATAAACCTCCTATAAAAACTTGCATGACCCAAGAAACTCCTAACTCCCTTAACATTAATTGTTGGAGGCAGTTTACTAATAATTTTGATTTTTGCTTGATCCACCTCTATTCCTTTTTCTGAAATTCTATGGCCAAGGACTATTCCTTCTTGTACCATGAAATGACACTTTCCCAATTTAAAACAAGGTTAGTATCTTGACATATCTACAAAATAGTGGACAAATTAGCTAAACAATTATCAAAAGAATTACCAAAAACAGGGAAATCATTCATAAACACTTCAATAATTTTTTCTACTAAATAAAAAAAAATGGATATCATACACCTTTGAAAAGTAGCGGGAGCATTGGACAATCCAAATGGCATTCTTCTATATGCAAAAACTCCAAATGGACATGTAAATGCAGTCTTCTCTTGATCCATAGGGTCCACTGCTATTTGATTGTAACCAGAATATCCATCAAGAAAACAATAATAGGCATGTCCAACTAGTCTTTCCAACATTTGATTAGCAAATGGCAATGGAAAGTGATCTTTTCTAGTTGCATCATTTAATTTTCTATAGTCGATACATATGCGCCAGCCTATTACAGTCCTACTAGGAATTAATTTATTTTTTTCATTAGGCACAACTGTCATCCCTCCTTTTTTAGGGACAACTTGGACTGGACTAACCCATTGGCTATCCGAAATTGGGTAAACAATCCCTGCATCCAGCAGCTTCATTACTTCTTTTCTCACTACTTCTTTCATGGCTGGATTTAGTCTTCTTTGTGGCTGTACTACTGGTTTAAAATGCTCTTCAAACAGAATTCTATGCTTGCAAAAAGCTGGATTGATCCCCTTTAAAGATGAAATATGCCAACCAATTGCAGACTTATGGGCTCTTAAAATTCTCAGCAATTTCTCTTCTTCTTCTCCCTTGAGATCATTGCTAATAATCACCAGATTTTCATGTTCTTGGTCTAAGAAAGAGTATCTCAAGTGAGAAGGTAACTGTTTTCGCTCTAGTTTCTCAGTCTTCTCTTCCTTCATTTCATTCTAGCTACTGCACATATTCTCTCAATTGTTCTTCTTTTTTTACAGCAGCAGAATGATTCCCTACAACTATTGTTTCCTTTAACAATGAGATTTCATCAGCATTATCAATAAAATGAGGGAAAGTAATAGAATCTTGAATATCAACCCTCATACAAGTAACATCATCATTGGGATGTTTGAGTGCCTCAAATACATTAAAAATAACCTTTTCATCTTGCACTCTCAACATAAGTTCTCCCTTTTGAACATCAATTAAAGTTCTCCCTGTAGCTAAGAATGGTCTGCCCAAAATTAAAGGAATGTCAGCATCCACTTCCATGTCCAAAATTACAAAATCTGCAGGAAAAATAAATTTTTCAATCTTAACTAGCAAATCCTCTACAACACCATAGGGATATGTATAAGATCTGTCTGCAAATTGTAATGTTATGCTAGTAGGCTTGACTTCTTCTATTCCAAGTCTCTTCATGATAGCAAAAGGCATGAGATTAATGATGGCCCCAAGATCACATAAAGCTTTCCCCACAGTGCAATTTCCAATAGAACATGGAATGCTAAAAGAACCTGGATTCTTTAATTTTTGAGGGAGGTTCCTTTGTAAAATAGCACTGCATTCTTTAGTTAAAGGGACTGTTTTATCATTCTCAAGCTTTCTTTTCTTAGATAACAGCTCCTTCATGAATTTAGCATAGGCAGGCATTTGCTCAAGTGCTTCAGCAAAAGGAATATTTATTTAAAGTTTCTTAAAGACATATAGAAACCTCTCAAATTGTTTTTCTTGTTTTGAATTGGGCATTCTTTGAGGGTAAGGAAGTCTCTTGTATTTCTCCTCATCAATAGGTTGATTAGCTTCCTCAAGTAGTTGCCTCTTTGTCTTCCTTACAGCCTTTAGAGAACTCTCTTTTTCTGAATTTTCTCTTTTCAGCAAGGTAAAATTTCATTCATCTAGATCAGATTTTAATTTCTCCTCTACAGCAGGATTATTTCTTCTTTTTTTGGCAGGTTTAGGACTTCCCACAACAGCTCCACTCCTAGTCATTACAGTTTGACATTGTTCTTTTGGATTAATAACTGTATTACTAGGAAATCTCCCCTCTTCTCTCTGGATAATTGTTCAGCCAGCTATCCAATTTGAGTTTCATGCAGGTTCTCCATAATAATTATGACCCATTCCTTTAGCCAATTTAGCTCTTAATACAAGATCATTCAAGTCACTTCTTAATGGAAGATTCTTGATTCTTGAAACTTGTTTGGGTTACTTTCATAAATTGCAGCATGGTTTCCTCCATTTCATTCAACCTTTCAGTCATAGGCTTGGAGAATTTTTTATTCCTTTGAGGTTGAGTGGCTGGATTCCCTTCGAAATAGGATTGTTGTGCTGCTTGTGACGCCTAAAAAATAGCAGGATTTTTTTTTTTTGTACGAACATAAGCTCTTTCTTCATAGAGAGTTTTAATCACACAATTAATATTCCGTATTCCATAGACAATCAACATTTCACTTCCCAATTTGAACCACACAGTGGGATAAAGATAAATATAACTCATGACATAAAGGTACCTCAAGGTATTTAAACATCAGTTTGGCAGAAATAGTAAAATGTTCAGATAGTGTCGAGAGCAACAAACATTAATCCAATCCATCAAACAGAATAGCAACATAAGTAAACCAAACGCCCTAAGAGTAGTCCCACTAGGACAAAAACAAACAACAAACATCACTCATAAGGTGAATAATCCTCAATGGGATCAGACTCCTCAGAAGATGTCGAGGAAGCAGAGCTAGAAGAAGCAGCGTCCTCAGTGTCCTCTTCAATCCATCCAACAATGTGAGGTGGCGAATGGTCTGTAGTGAAGGGCGAATAGGTGTTTGGGTAGGTAGGGAGCATGTGGGGCAGTACATCATCATTCCTCATTGAGGGTTCTGCCATATGGACATCTCTCTCAGTGGCCACAGGGGGTGGAGTAGGATCCTCAGTAGGGAATGGTACAGGTGCAGGTACTGGTCTAGAACTGGGAGTACAGGGATCAACAGACATGGGAGAAGGAGTAGCTGCAAGGGCAGGATAAGGTAGGTGAGAATCTCCAGGTGGGGTGGAGAAAACAAGCTCGATGGGGGTATCAACCATAAAGTGGGTGGTCCATGAGTGTCCGACATCCTGTCCATGAATCACTCGTGCCATTCCATGGAAGATGCTTTGCTGTGCTGCCACGTCGAACACCCAAACGTCCTCCTCAGATGGAAGGATCCATACCTTCACTCGGAAGCTGGTCATCTGTATAAGGCATATACAAAAGTACAACAACACAAAAAAACAGGGGTGAGTTCTCCAAACACAAACAAACATCCAATAGCCGTACCCTAAGGAAGGTGGCTTTTCACACCATCACCCAAACCACATCATTATCCAATCTCAAAACAAACATCGATACAATATAAGTCAGTTCATACTTCTCATAGAAAATTCCTAGGTTCATCAAACTAATAATGCACATGATGCATGAATGCAAGTTTCTTTCCTCGCTATCCATCCCTCGAATTTTCGTTTTAATGCATATGGTATGCATGGGGATCCCTTACTCTACTGCCAGCGACTTCCCCAGCATTTAGTGTAGAGTTAACAATTTCATATCCAAGTCGTGTGGCGATCGGAGGACTCAATTCCCTGCATCACAATTGCACAAAAAAGAATTTGTATCATTATTCAAAAACACCAAAACTGGTGCTGGCCCCAAATTGGGTCTCTTCGGGAATAGACCTCAACGACCCTAGGATGTGGAGTTCTTGTCGGGCTTGGCTAAGGCTTGCAAGTAGGGTCACGACCCGGCCACAGAGAGCTCTGCTGCGCCATCTAGGTCGACTGTTCCCCCTTTCGCCACCCTCGTAGGTCTACTCGGGACCAAACCTCCAATACCTACAGCTGTGCCTCTGTTATGCCATCAAGTCGTTCCAAAGAAATGTTATGATGCATGGAGCATGATTTTCTTTTCCTTCTCCAATGTTTTCTCAATCTTGGATCACATGGAATTCAAGCACAGAATCAAAGCCCTCACAAGGCCTGCTTAATCATTATTCACTTTCTCATCCAGCATAATTTTGTTAAACGACAAGGTTTAGGAATTACATACGAGCTTCTAATCCCATCAATACACATCCACTACTTCTTAACACATAAGTTTCAGTAATTTGACATAACCCACTCAGATTTTCCTCATCCAATTCCATTATAATAATTTACTATATTTATCATTTCCCTCGCTATTAACTATACTACTTACTATTTAGATATAACGTGCTTCCATTTTCCTATTTCCCTCTGGTTTTTCCATTTAGTTATTTTCTAATTACTTGTATTGATTCCCGATTACCTATTCAATTCAAGGTTACTTAGTTTAGTTCTAGCTCTCTTTAGTTTTATTAATATTAAGTCCTCACGCGATGGGTTCTATTAAGTAGTTAATAGTGAGATCTTTCCAAGAATGACTTTTATCAATTAACTACTATGTCCAGACCCTTAATTACCATCTCCATACCTTTAATTACTATCTTTTTAGTTTGGGTAAACTTTCCATCAAAAAGGGCTGCACTTGATTTTTTATTTTTTTTTCCTTTTCACTCCTTATATAATGCAATGAACATGATGCATGATTTATCTTAATACTCACGAATCCAGGTGCAAACAGCAAACATACCCTATCATTACTCAATCCTTATCACTCATATTTCATCAAAATTAACACAATTTCAAGTACAACTTTTAGGATTCCTCATCATCAAAATCGAGAGTGAATAGTTTTCACTTTCTTGTCCACCACAAATTCCCAAAGCACCACATGCATGAAACTTTTAAACCAAGTGGAAACATACATCACAACCAATCCAATCATCCATCATCCAAACTAGCAAGCAACCATTTTCATGCAAATCACACAAAGTCTAGCACGGTTTTCAAATTCTAAAGTGTAGTTCAATATGCTAGTCTTTTTCATGAAAGGTCAAATCTGTCCAGCCTTTCCACTAGATTTCCGTCAAGTTAAAATAGGTAACACAAAGGAAATTAACATCCAATGACATAGTTTCATCGTCCAAGTGCAGGGGCAACATTTCCAAGTGACATTCAAACTTCCAAGGGAAAACCGAAACACTTAGGGACTGAAATCAACATGCAATGGCTTCCATTTCACATGCAATCCAAGGTTTATTGATTACAAGAGTAGATCGACATTTTAAACAAAGAATCCAGCCAAACAAAAGTGAAACCGAGGCATGCACAAAGGGATCCAAAGCATTCCATGGTTAAAATTCAACATGCAAGTGAAAGGATATGTTAATCAAGTTCACGGTTCATGGTTTCAAGGAAGAAATATCATTAATTCAAAGATTTCTCCAAGGAGACATAAAAATTGAACATGCACAAGGGAAAATCCACATCCACACATCAAAGTTTCAAGCTTTTAAGGAACAAAGTTGATTAAAAGTGGAATCAAACTCTTTAGGATGTAACCGAGGCATGTAAACAAGGAAATCCACACACTTTTCGGATAAAATTTAACATGCAAGTTCAGATTTGAAGTTCTTCAAACATGCAGTCCAATATACACTATTTTTCAAAGGGAAAATGAGCAAAAACAGCCAAGAAATGGACATGCAAACACATCAATGGTGAGAACTCCCCCTTGCCTTAAATGTGTCAAAAATTTGTGAGTAAAAGGAGTTGATCTTGGTTGGTTCTTCAAAAGAAAGGTGCTGGACCGAGAGGATGAGTTTCAAACTTCAATCTTTCTCCTCTTGGCTAGGTTGTCTTCTTCGGTTCTTTGAAGAGAAAAGGGGAAAAGCTCCTTGAAGGAATGGTCAAGGTTTTGAAGAATCAAGCAAGAGAATGCAAGGGTGAAAGCTTGGAGCTCCTTGGCTTGTCTTGAGAGGTTGAGAAGATGAGAAATTTCGAAGGGATTTAGGGAGAGAGGGTCTCGGTTTCTTTGAAGAAAATGGAGAGAATAGGAACTTGAAAGAATTTTGAGAGAAAGAGTGGGAGGCTCACGGTTCTTAGAGTGAAAAAGAGAGGAAATAAGGTAGCTTGACCTATTTATATGAAGTGTTCAATTTTCCTTTGCCAAATGTAACTTAATGCTCATGATTTGGGCTTGTGGGACAAGGTTCAAATGCCAAAACTACACAAAATTGATTTGAAGCAATTTGGAAGTGAATTTTGGTGAAAAATTTGAATAATAAGGGTGCCACGGTTTTTGTACATGAATAGTGAATTCTTTTTGCAAACTTGCAAGTTAAGTAAATACAATTTGGCAAGCAAAATGCATGGAGGAATATGGAGGCTACATGCACACGGTTTTGGAGTAGAATATTCCAAGAATTGCATAAATTTCCAAAGGCTAGATTCTAGGCAGCAAATGCATGTAATGCGATTGGCCGACGAGGAATTTGATGTGACGAGATTGACTTTTGAAGGGACATTTGACATGGTGCAAATTTCAAGAAAAGCATTTAATTAAAGTAATCATGATGCCAGCCTTTTAGAAGACAAGACAAGAAAGTTCTGGAATAATTATGTCTACAAATCAGGAGGCAAGAATCTTTTGCATGAAATTCTAGTGGCCAATACTAGATTTGGAAATCTTTACAATAATGATTACTAGATTTCGTGAGATTTCGTGCAGAATTTCGACGGCTAAGGAATGATTACAA